ATCAGTTCCACCAGGAAGTAGTGGCAAATGCTCTTTTTTAAGTAGAAGAACATGAATATCTTTGCATCATGGGATTGTTTTTTGTTTTCTTGAGTTTTCCTCTCCCTTTCCCAAAGAATTATAGACCTGCTAATCTGTAAAGTTGTAAATATTTGACAACACATCATCCTTCTGTGTGGGTCTGATGAGGAAGGAGGTCTTCACAATGTCGCTGCTTTTAGTGTCAACCTACTGTTTCTCTCTCCTCCTCCTCCTGGAATTAGAATCAAAGAATCATTTGGGTCAGAAGAGACCTTTAAAGCCTGTCTAAACTCCAACTTTGCAGTGAACAGAGACATCCACAGCTCAATCAGGTGCTCAGAATCACAGAATGGCCAGGGTTGGAAGGGACCTCAAGGATCATGAATCTCCAACCCCCTGCCACACGCAGGGCCACCAGCCTCCACATTTAATGCTAAACCAGGCTGCCCAGGGCCCCATCCAACCTGGCCTTGAACACCTCCAGGGATGGATGGAGCATCCACAGCCTCTCTGGGCAGCTGTTCCAGCACCTCACCACTCTCATAGCAAAGAACTTCCCCCTGCATCAGGCCTTACTATTTTACTCAAGTGGCTGTGAGGTTTCTGGGGCCAATCACGAGAGGAAGGTCTTTACTATTTTTCATGGAAATGAACATCATTTAAAGTTAGTCCATGCTTGTGTCAGAAAGAAGTGTTAGAAATTAGCACTGGGTCTACAGCAGTTACAGGAAGGATTAAACCTGGTGTCGCTATATTTTAATAAAGGCCTAAGACTTCTGTGAAAATAAAAGAAACAAAAAGAACCCATCGCAGTAACTAGCATGTAAAATGAAGATTAATAAGGCTGTACAAAACTCTCTGCTACGAATGATTATAATCTCCTTTTTTGACAAGATTACCGAACTCGTTGACCAGTGGAAACCACTGGAAATCGTTTTGGATTTCAGCAAAACTGTTTCTCTCAGTGTTTTTCTGAACAACATTTCCAGCATCCAGCTAGACAGAAATGTAACGTGATGGGTGAACGACTGGTTGATGAGGTGAGCACAAAGGTTTGTAGGAAATGGTGTTACATCAGGCTGGCAGCCAGTCAGTAATGGGGTTCCACAGAGCTCCTTTTCAGGGCCAGCTGTCTTTAGTGTTCTCATCAATGACTTGGATACAAGACTTGAAGTCTTTTCTAGCTTTGGTGAAATTTTTTATGCGGTCCTGCAAGGGCATTAGTTTGGTTTATGCTCTAAATGCGTGAGTTTGTTCTTGCTTTGATTATTTTCCTAATTTTCTTTACGTATTTAGCATTAAAAGCAGTAATCGTATTCTTAGAGTGAAGCATTTGATACATGCACGTGAAATTATCACAAACATGCTAAGGAAATGTGGCCCATTTGAAGAATAACCAGAGTATCTGTAATGATTTCTCTTTGAGATTAGGTGATAAATCAAGGTAGGCTTTGAGTGGGTTGGTTTTACCCATGCCAACAGACTGGCTCAAAGTCAGTGGAGTCCAAAGAGAACTCTGACCTGTACCAGAGATGAAGGAGCCATTCTGCTCCGTTTGATGGAGCAAAGCTTCCAGAGCACTGTACCTGCATGGGCACCGTGCATTAAAAAAAGCTACAGAGGCAACATGCTGCCTTGGAAAGCTCTGTAAATGATCTGTGGTCTAGAAACATCTAAGAATTTAAGAAAATAAGGAAAAGAGAAAGAAAAGGGAAGAAAAACACGTTTGCCAGGCTTGTGGTTTGCATGCATGTGCTGTGAAAAAATGCATGTGTACATGTATGAAAATATTTGTTTAATTCCTCTCAGAATAGGCAACAATTGGAGTTCAGATAAAGTGCTGAAAGTTTCAAGTTGAATCAAAGATCGTGAAGTCATGAAGTAAGGGAATATTTGTAATCCTAACTTTGCACTAGGTTATTTTTTTGTCTCAGATACCAGCTGCTGCTGCGTTCCATACATTTCCCAAGGATTAGTAAAACTTGGAGCTGTACACAATGCGTTTTCAGCTTCTGGCATTTTTAGCACGGCGTCGTTGCACAATACAGTGGGAGGAAATGTCCACGGGGAGAGCTTACTCCTGCAGTAGCTGAAATAGTCAGCTTTTGGCTGCAGTAACAGCCCGCTGCGGGGCAGGGATCTTAGAGTCTTTCTTTTCTGAAATGTGAGGTAGGATTTAAAACGTGAACTCGAACCCATGTCTGCTGGCTGCAAAAGGAGTGTGCTACCATGAGGTGGAACTTCCAGCAACACGGTGAGCATGGGGACTTCAAGGGGAGCACACTGCAGTTCCTGTATGCAGAGATGCCTGCAGCACTTGGAGCTGCAGTTAAATTCCATCTGCATGTGTTTGTTCTCCAAAGTGAGGGGAAATCTTTTGGCATATTCCCTGATAATAATATCCTTCTTTTATGTAAGGAAGATTAGGTACAGCAGGAAAGACCAGAAAGGAAAAGTTGAAACTCAGTTTACCTGCACGAGCACGGAAAGGTAAATTTGTCTCAGATGTTATTCTTGGCTGTTTGCACGGCGTACCAACAGCTATTTAAACTGCACAAACTTTAATAGGGGAAAAAGGAAAGCATTTATATTTCATTTTTTCCCAATCCTCCAAACTGTGTGAGAAGGCGTGTATTGAGCGAAGCACAGTGGGGCAGTGATCGGACAGCTGCGGAGTGCTCTGCTGAGGCATGCAGTGAGCTGGGGCTGTATGGCTCCTCAGGGATTGCACTTCATTTTGTGAGCACGTTGTGAGGTTCAGCAGCTTGTCAGTCGTACTGCAGCCTCTTTGAAACACGGGACGGAGCACAACTGATGGCCCATGTGAGCAGCTTATATCTGGTACACGGGCTGTTTCTTGGATGATCTCTAGCCAGAGCAGTAGGGAATAGGAGCGGTTGGAAATTTGCAGACTTTGCAGCTGTTGCCCCGCGGTTCACGTTTTTATGAGCACCTTGCAAAATGCCCTGTTCCATTTCTTTGCAGTGCAGGATCTCCCTCCGTGACCAGGTGAAATCCCCCAGAGCTCCCATGCTGCAGGCTGCTCGTAGGGTTTGTAGTGGTTGTTACCAGTTCTGTCTGCCAAAGGAGCTGGACAGCAAACAGGGATGGGGGGAGGTTATAAAGGATGCAGTCTGCGTTTTTCTGTGGTATCATTTCTGACTGATGATCAGTCAGCGTAAGTGGATGTTGGCAAAAGTGTCAAGTAAGCTGGCTGGGGATTTAAAACCATTATGTTGTTAATATTTGAAAATCTATTTGTGTTTGGTTGTGCAATCTCTAATGAATTATCAGCTTCAAACTAAGCGAGGGAAATCAATAATGTCTTAGTTGTAAGAGCAGGGCTCTGATTTAAGAGAGTACTTGCCATTAAACTAGTCTCTAGAAAGTTTTGTAATAAAATAGGCAAGATCTCTGTGAAACAAAAAGTAAGAGAGCATCTTTGTCCTGTTCACCCATTGCTGTGCAACATCTTTGGTTTGAAGGACGTGTGTGTTTGTGCGTACAAACCAAGGGACTGGACAGTTTATGAGACTTAGAAATGGAAATTTGCCCAGAGATGTGGTGGATGCCTCATCCTTGGAGACACTCAAGGTCCAGCTGGATGGGGCTCTGAGCACCTGATGGAGCTGTAGGTATCCCTGTTCACTACAGGGGAGTCGGGCCAGGTGGCCTTTAAGGGTCCCTTCCAACTCAAACCGTTCTGTGATTCTAGTCTGTGAAATCAATAAGAAAAGAGCATGGGGACAGTCTGAAATAGATGTTTTGCACAGGAGAGAAAGAAATCAGCCTGCACTGACATCTGTGCCCACAGTCACCTCAAGCATGTAGCCAGGTGGGTCTGTCTGAGGGGTGTTTGGTGTCTGTGGCTGCCACTGTGTTGCCAGTTGAGCTAACAGATCTCACCTCATTGCCTCATTTTGCAGTCAACTTCCACAATTATTAATAAGCCACAAAAGAAATAGAAGATGTAAGAACTGCAGTTTCTACAAAAGAATCTGGGACATCTCCCTCACTGCAGTGCCTTCGCTCCTCTAAGCAGCCAAGCCAGGACAACTCCAACACTGCAGCCATCAGACAGAATCAAAGAGAACATTGTGCCATCCTGGGGCGTTTATGAAGGTTGCTGAGCAATGTGTGTTTGCTGTCCAGTGACAGTTATTGTTAATGTCTGTGCATTAGAATTCAGAGCAGTGTGACCACAAAAGCAGCATCAGGACCTGCAGCAGGCCAGGTCCATCTAGCGGCCAGCGAAGGCACGTGCAGCGTGTAGCAATGCGGATCGCACTGGCTGCATTTCAGCACGGTATGTACGCTAATTCTGATCATTAAGAGGGGGGAAAAAAAGAGGCTGGGGGAGAAAGAAAGAAATCATGAGTGAGTCTACACAGCAGCTGTCTTTCAGGTGTGCAGGCAGCCATTTCACGTGGCTGTTTCAAACTCTGAGTGAAGAAGCAGACAAGCAGAAGAGCAGGGTGGCTCTGTGGCACACGCTGTGCAGTACTCGGGGACGTTCTCCTCAATCGTTTCAACTGGGGGAGAAAATCACCAGTAGCTAAGTACAAAACATGATGCTCAGTTGTGGATTTCAGTGCCCTGTGCCAGTAGCACAGACAAATTTAATTAAAGTTAACAGCTTAAACAACTGCCAGACTCCAGAAAGTGTCCTGGTGAGAAGATGTGCTTTGGGCACCACGATTAATTTCCTGTCTTTTCCCTTTCTGTTTGGCAGGATCTCAGTAGCCCTATTTCAAAGCCACCCTCTGCAGTCCCCCCTAGATCACCATGCTGCCCCTCACCCTCCTGGTATCCACCCTGTACCCTCAGCACCTCTCAACTTAATCAGCAGGCTGGGGAGATGCTGAACTGGTTTGGAAAGAGACGTCCCAAGTGTACATGGTACAACTGTGTGTATGCACACTGCTCCTTCCATGGAGCAATCCCAGATTCAGCAATTGTTCCAAAGACATCAGCACAGCTTTAAGTTTTAAAGTAACACTTCACAGGATTGACATTTATTAACTGTATACATCACATCAGAACACAAGTGGTCCACAACAAACTCATCCTAGAGTATCTGTGAGTATAAAATAGAGGAGCGTTGATACTCTGTGGCTTGCACAGCTTCCAAGGTACAGGACTTTGTGTGTTGCTTGAGGTGGGAAACCAGTGGTGTGGTGCACCGTTCTTCCTTTGTTTTTCTTCACTCTGTGTTGGTGTTTTCTTCTTCTCTTGAGGAGGACCCTTCATTTGCTCTTGTTGCACTCTTGCTGAGTTTACTTTTTGTTCCTGCTTCCTGTACATCAAGCATGCAGCCATCTGTGACTTCCTGCTTGCCCATTCTCTGTGTGTTTATGCCTTGCTGGTTTATCAAGTGCCTTTTGCTACTGCAATTGTTACAGATCTACAAAGTGCTTAGCCATACTCCATGGTTACGCTTGGTTAATTTGCTTCCTCTTTTTAGGAGCAATAGGGAACAGCTACAGCAACCTGGTCCTGCTGGGTGACCGTTCAGTCCCAACAGCGAGTATCTGTGTCTCTTAAAGGACAGGGTGATTGCACAAGGGAAAAAGTAAATGCTACTTCTAATCATCATCATCTTGGGAAGGTGTCCAACATTCTCTTATATGTGTCCTGGAGAAGCAATCCTGAGCATTTCCTGTTGAGGCGTGGCAGATGGAAACAAATGCACTATGCTCTTTGTTCATAGAAGAACAGGAATATGTTTACTGACATAAGATGCTGTTAAATCACAACGTTAACAAGATGGCTGGATACGCGTGATGTTCTGCATAGAGGGTAGGTTAAACACATACAGGGCCCTCCTGTTGAGTCACAAGGTTCAGAATGGATCCCTTTGCTTCCTAAACTCCTTGGACCACAGGGGTAAGGAGCCTAAGTGTGGCTGGATCCTCTCCTAGTCCCAGAATCGGTCAGCAGTTTTTGTCACAATCAATCCAAGATGTGATATTAGCAAAGCTAAAAAAAAAAAAAAAAGACAGAACAGGTTATTAGTCATTTACTGAGGACCTGTATCAAGGTGTCTTGACATCAAGGTGTAAGGATTCTCTGCATAGGCATAACTTTGAGAGGCATCTTTACTCACAAGGAGGTGCAACTGTGCAGGAGAGCTTAAAGAGGCTCTTGGGCTACTCACTGTTTATGGGGTAAGATGATTGACTCGTAGTCATTGTGTTGTCTGAAGTTTGGAGTACCAAAGTGGAAGGAATGGAGTTTCTGTCCTACAGCAGAAAGGAGGCAGGGAAGGAAGAGCTACTTGAAGTGCAAGTGAAGAAACCGTAAGCATGGGGCACACCGGTGGAGCTGAGTGCCTCCAGCACTGAGACAGGCTGAAGCAGCCTGCTCCATGCAGGAGGGAGGCTACCCATTAGAACTAGTGGTAGGAATTCCTTCTGCCCCTCACACCTAAGATCTTGGGATAGATGGAAGACCCCTGTCTTGGCATCTCCACTTAGGGAGATGTAGTACTTAGGGACATGTTTTAGAGGGCAATGATAGTGATAGGTAGACAGTGGGACTGAATGATCTTAAAGGCCTTCTCCAATGAAAAATGATTCTATGACTCTTGCAAACAGATTTTCCTTTTCTAGATGCAGTTTCAAACACAGTAATCCACATCAAGATTGCGTTCATACAGTTTGATTGAACAGAGAGTATTTTAGGCATAATATTAAAAACTCAGTTATACTGAAGGAAGAATTTTGGATCATGGAATTGCAGGGGTTGGAAGAGAACTCATGAGATCATCAAGTCCAACCCCCCCCCCGCTAAAACTCATTCAGCTCTCAGGAATGCTGTTTGAGAATGGGTGGAACCCAACTTCCTGCTCATTACTCAGTCTTTCCTTACATTGGTTTCCTTACCTCCTGGCATCCCTTGGATTTGTAAATAGTCTTGGGCTGTTTTTGGCACTCATCTGAAATAGCATCAGTGCACTCCAAATAAGAAAAAGATGAATGACACCATCCTGCAGGATTTCATCTGGCTGGATGTGCTTTTGTGGAGACAAACCTACAAAAGAAAATTGGTTAGTCACTGATGCATCTGATGTAGTTTCTCAGCTTCTAAGCTGTTACACTGATGTACGTCTTCTGCTGTATTGCGCTGCAAACTTCTGTTTTAAATCTGTTTCTTTACTGCAAAGTTTTCTTGCACTTTATCATAAAGATTATTTTTTTGTCTAGAAAAACTTAGGGATTGGGGTTCAGGTCCCTGCAGGTTGACTAAGGGCATTTCCACAAATGCATAAAAACCTCTTTAACTTCACGTTTGGACTGTTCTGTGCTCTGATGCTAAAACAGCTGATCGGTTGCTTCCTTATTCCTTCCTTTTCAGAACATCAGCACTGGGGCTCAGACCTACAGCTTCCCAAAATGCCTTTTGAAGAAATCATGTACAATGATGAGAGTGCCTACAAGTGGCTGCGCACCCTGAAGAAGATGGGAGTTGTGCTGCTAACAGGAGCTGCTGCAAGGCAGGGAGAGTTGGTGAAGCTTGGCCACAGGATTGGTTTCCTGCGTCTCACTTTTTATGGGTGAGTTGGGATTTTTAATCACCTTGCTTTGCCAGCTATGTAATTACTTCCAGAGCATTTGAATTCAGCTTGCTGGACCTCTCTTATGGGTTAATTTATTAAAACAGGATTAATTTTTCCTTGCCTGCAGATGCAAGGACAATTCTTATTGAAAAGCCACAAGCAGATCCACAAGGCAGCACTGTGTACCCCATGAGGCTACGCAGAAGGCCTCTTCCAAATTGCTGTATCCACAAACAACAGTGGACTCTGCAGCTTGGCCTAGGTTACCCCTTCCTTGGTGAGATTTCTGGAGCAGGTTCTCATCTTAACTTCAGTTAATGTGTTGTCCAGGAACGGACAACACACTGAGGAGGAGAGGTAAAATGCAGGCTGGTTGAAATCCAGAACCCAGTTCCACTGCATGTCCCATGCCCCTCTGGGCACAGATCCCAGCCATGTATGCTCCTGGGATAATAGATACTAAAGCACAGTTATTTCTTGTGCCTGAATAGACCCCAAAACCAGAATATTTAGAGCTTTCAGCTAGAAAGCTCCCTTCTCCCCTATAAAAATATATATATATAAGACTTGTCCTTCACTTGCACCTACCTCATTCAGAAAATGACCAGGTAAACTATGTGGGCAACAGCCAGTGTCTCTTCCATTGACTAAATGGCTTAAAGCAGAAAGAAGTAGAAATATAAAAAGTCAGCCTTTGCCAGAAGGACCACATTCCATCCAGGCTTCAGCTCAGACGGGGAGATTTTCTTTCCCCTTCATGCAGTCGGAGGCTTTTTTCTTCCCCCTTTCTACTTACTGGGCCAGAAAGAAAAGTAGATTTCAGTGTTAGCTGGGATACAGTCATGTCAATCCTACTAAAACCAATGGGAACAGAACTTCCTGCTTGACTTGGAAACCTCACCTAGTGCTAGTTAACATGTTCTGCTTTTAAAAGCATTCCTGATGTCAGGCACTTCTTTGCTTGGCAGCCCACCACAGGTCTTGACAGCTTGTGCCATGATGAAAGTGGTACTTCTTGCTGTTTCTGTTCTGATGTGATCCTAGTAAGAAAGTTAAGCCAACAAAAGATTCAGATTTACTTGTATCATCAGTTGGAGGGTTTGGTTGTTTGTTTGTTCTACATCTCTTTCATAAAGTTAGACGTGCCTCACCGATTCTCACCAAATATGATTATAAATAGCAGTGTTTACTAAATACTTCCCCTTGTTTCAGGCCAAGGTGGAAACTGGACACCAGTCCACACCATTTGGACAAATAACAGTTAGAGCTGCTTTCACTGTTTAAATCAAATTCTCTGTTGGTGTTGACTACACCTTATTTTCCCGCTGTTAATCACAAAGACCGTAACCAGAAAGTTGGGCTGCAAAGCGTTAACCCTTCTCAAGAGTCACTCCCTATTTTGCTGCAGAACTGTTAGCCACATCTCCTCCTCACAGTGGGCTTACACACACCTTGGCACACACGGTGCTCATGAAATGGGCTTTAAGTGACTCTTCAGACCATGCTTTTTATAAAGTCTTTTAAAAAATAGTTCTTTTAGTTCTTCTAATTACTTTGGCTTATTTTTGGGGGGTAGCGGTGCTGGCTTTTTTCAAGTGTTTTATAAGAAAGCAGTTGCTTAATTTTTGCCATGTATATCTTGAATCCACTCTTAAAATACTACTAAAATAGAAGAGAGAAGACTTTACCTATGGTATCTTTTCTCCTAAGTTAACCTGTTTAATTTTCAGGCAGTTAGTGCTGTACCCAGCTGTGCTGTTCTCAGACATTGCTCGCAGTAGCAGAAACTCTCCTGAGCTTCCAGCCTTAACAACAGGCTTAGAGCCATTTTATGTCTCGTCCTCTCTAAAAAAGTTCATAGATTACTGGCAGACAGTTCTAAAAAGAGAATTTTAGAACTGTAATGAAATAACCGTTGCTAATCCCCTTGCTATTTCACCAGTGCCCAAATGCAAGACATAACAAATACTGTAAAGGAAAGGGATGACTTTTGGATTGGTCCAGCTTGGCAAATAAAACATACCTCTGTAGGGCCATGTATGCTTACTGGAACGTAACAGTAGCAGATCTATCCCTTTTTTCACATCTAGGTGTCTGCTTGGTACATGCTGCCCTAGTGTCATCAGAATCACAGAAAGGCTTGGGTTGGAATGGCCCTTAAAGGCCATCCAGATCCAACCCCCTGCCACAGGCTGCTTCCCACTCACCTGAGCAGGCTGCCCCATCCTGCTGGTCTGGAGCACCCCCAGGGATGGGGCAGTCACAGCTTCTCTGGGCAGCCCCACTTTACCCCTCCCAGAGGGCTCCGGCTGCCATAGAAGGATGCAAGTCCCAAACCTTTTGTGAATGAGATCTCAGTTTTTAATACAGTGCGAGGCCAGACAATTTACATGTGGCTTCAGTTCCTACTGCAAAACTAAAGAAGTGCCAGGCACACTTGTTCTCTGCTCAGAGAGACTGAGCTCACATTGCCTCTTAATGCCAAAAAAAAATTGCTACACCTGCCTGGTGCCAAATTTCCTGCTCAGTCAAACAGTATGAGCAATTGAGGTTGAAATTTAACCGTGATTTCTAAGTCATAAACCATTCCAACTGCTCTCCTCTCTCTGAGGGTGAGAGCTTCCTAACACTACCTGTGTTTTTTTTCCTTCACTTATCCTGCACTTGCTGGCTCTCCCCGTGGCTGAGTTCATGCTTCAGAGCCGTTGATACCCTGACAAAGTGAAACTGATTATTTTCCACGCTTAACAGCCGGCTCCCTATTTGCACTGCTTTCTCTTTTTAACCATGGCTGGCTGCAGACAGTGATGAGCTTTGACAGCAGCTCCACACGTGGAGAGGTTCTTGGGGACCAGCTCCCTACCAAGCATAGCAGCAGGACAGCTCTGACTTCCCTCATAAGGTGGTGTCGCAGTGACTTGTAAATGATTCTCATTCCAGCAATCCTATGTAGAATTGCAGAATTGTTTGAATTGGAAGAGACCAAAGTCATCTAGTCCAACTCCCCTGCAATGAACAAAAAGCATCTGTGGACTATATAAAATGATTTTGGTCTCCATGTTCTTTAGCCTCTGTTTTAAATATTAAGAAGTAAGACTTGAGCACACTACAAATAGTATATTTGGTGTACAGTAGTTAAAGTAGGAAATAAAATGAGTTTTATATTTTTCTTTTAAGTAATTTATGCTCTTGTGATGCCACAGCCTGCTTATGGTGACATATATAGACAGGGATCTATGCTATGCTTTTGTTGAGGGCTGCCTTCAGGCATGTGCTCTGTACAGTCCTAACATGTGATTCATGTGATAATATGTGCTCTGTATAATCCTAACATGCGATAATTTCATATCATTTTGAATGTTCAAAGACGCAGTAACTCTCCTCTACTCTGATTTCACACTTCACCTTGCACTAGCTGACTGCTCAACATGTTTGCTCTTTGCCCTTTCATTGTACAGGCCAACTTGGCAAGTGCAGGACAAAGCAGATGCCAACAATGTGGCTTACACAACAGGGAAGCTGTGCTTTCACACCGACTACCCTGTCCTGCAGCACCCACCTGGGGTAAGGTGAACCTACCAGCTTCTTCACAATGCAAAGGGGGAAAGCACGAAGGTCCGGTATGTGCTTTTGATACTGTTCATTGTAACAAAGCAGTCGGGTGTTTAGATGCTGCAGCCACATTGTGGCATCTTAGGACAAGAGGAGAAGCAACTGGGAGAAGAACGATTAAGATACTGTATTGCCTTCTGCAAACTGGCTGAGGTTAGACAAGTTTTCACCCTTTCACAGAATCACAGAAACACCAAGGTTGGAAAAGACTTACAGGCTCATTCAGTCCAACTGTCCACCTATCACCAATAGTTCTCACTAAACCACAGCCCTCACCACAACGCCTGCACGTTCCTTTCATGAAGGAGCACTCTGTAAAGCTGAACCACTGCAGGAAATAGGTGGTCACCCCAGCCCTGTCACAGCAGAGCCTGATCCACTTCCTCAGAGAACTGAAAAGTAATAGAAACGTGTGCAAAGGAACAAGTTAATCCTGCAAAGGTTTGCATCTGTACCTACTGCTTCCCCTTCTTATTCGTCAAGATTACTTCATATCATTTTTTTCAGTAACTAAAAAGTCAGCGTGGTTTATCCACATATAAATGCCAGGTTAACATTGCCTATTTAAGATGCTCTTTATTAACATAATACTAAGATTAAGAATAGAACAGTTGTAGCAAGTGGACAGATCAATAGAATGGGAAAAGTGTTACAACAAAGGTGAGATGATAAAAGGACTGGAACAATAGAGAGCTGCTATAAGGGAAGGGAAGAAGGTTGCTTAGCTGTATCAGAAGATTCTAGAATGACAGGGGAAAGCTTCACCAAGGAGGGATGTCCAGAAAGAGATCCTGCCCCAGTAGCAGTCAGCCCCTAAATGAGGTCCTAAGAGAGATGGAGCCAGGCTCCTCTCCTGGTCACACAACTGAATTGCCTTCACCTGTGCTCCAGGGCTGACCAGGTCCTTTCCCCAGGTGCTCAATCAGTGGCTCAGGCCATGACTCAACAGTTCCCCTACAACACTACTTTGTTAATTGAGCACAGATGTGAATTAGCTCAGTGTCTCGTGTGTGCCAAGGCTCTCACTGCTACCAAACATGAGTAAAAGGGCAAAACCTTTTTTCATGCAAATATGCTCACAAGACATAGAATCCAAAGGCAGTGGGACAGTAGGGTAGGAAGCTGCTGCATTGTGTGGATAAGTTATTTGTAGCCTTTGCAAGCCAATGAAGATTAGAGGAGGAATGGCTGTCTGCCAGTCTTGGGCAGAGCTGCTTCCTTCTGCTTTATGCTGGTGGAGTCCCCTCCTGCAGCAGCAGCTGCTTGATCCTTCTCTCAAGGGCTGTGGGTGCAGCACTGCAGTAGACTGTGGCAAACTGTTCTCTGCTTCTCTCTCCCCAGTGTTTCTTATTTTTTCTCCGCTGTCTCAGAAATATTTCCCTTCCATGGTGGTGAACTGTGGCCATTGTTAGCTTTTAGCATTTTTAAGGGTAGCTGTGTTTGCATGACAGATGTGTATTGTCTAGTTTGGCCAAGCTTAATGTGCTTTGCATGATGCTTGACTTGTCAGCATCCCAGGGAGTTCCTGTTCCATCCTACTCCTTGGCAATTTCACTATGAAGTGCAATTAAGCTTCCTCGATCCTATTTTACTACAGATACCAGGCCTGTTGCCATCGGTAAGCCATCAGTAAGCCACCTTTCCCCCTATGTGAACAGATAACTCACAATGCAGGAGCAAACTAATCCTCTTTGGAGCGATAAGGAGGGAGAATGCAGCAAAAAGCAGTTTGAGAGAAAGAACTGACAGCACAGACTTGCAGAAAATAATAACAGGCTGCAAGGGTTAGAAGATCTCTCAAAGGGGATGCAATTAGAGTACTTCAATTTTCTGCTTACATGATAATGGTTGCAGAGTGCTATGAAGCTAGAGGAGTTGAAACTTAGTGTTTTGCTTGGAAAAAACCACACCGATATGAGGAGACTGATGCTAATGGACTGTTAAATACAGAAGCTAATTCTTGAAATGAAATCTTAATTCATTACAGGTTCAGCTTCTCCACTGCATTAAACAAACAGCCACAGGAGGCGAGAGTGAAATTGTAGATGGATTTCATGCAGCTAACAAGCTGAAGCACCAAAATCCTCAAGCTTATCAGATCCTGACCTCTACTGCTGTAGACTACACGGACGTTGGGGTTGACTACTGTGATTTTGCTGTGCAGGGAAAACAAAGGATCATAGAGTAAGTGGCCTCCATTCTCACACAATTACTTTGGAAACTAAAGTTGTTGATGTACATATGGAGGAACATGTGTTGGCAGGTCTGCTCCTGCCACCTCGTGGGGAAATGGTGGCTTCACTGGGCTGGGGTTACATTTGTGGCTTTATTTTTTTGGCCAGCATGCTATTTTTCTTCCCTTTGTCTCACTACAGCCTAGTTTTCCTTATTCAGTGTCCCTTACAGCACTAGCATGAACTCATGGGCATTAGGGCAACTTCAAGGCATGGTGCCACAGCAGATGGGCTTGTTACTGAACTGCAGTCCGTGCTGTGTGTCTGCACATCTGTACCATGCCAAAGAGAGGTCCTCATTTGAAGCATTCAGACTAAGAAACTACACACTATAAAAAGATCAAATTCAACTTTCTCTGAATTTTAAAACTTTGGCTCTGTGATTAATATGTACCAAATACTGATTTTTGTGGAGACTGGTTGCATTTTTTTCTGATGACCCCTTTCCCTCGTTAGGATTGATTATCAACTTCCTACCTAATAATCATCTTGAATGAAGGAAAAGAACTTGTCCTTTGACATAGAATTGAATTTAGTTGTAGAACAACACTGAAACTTCAACAGGAGAGTTCAGTCATCCATTAGACACGTCAAAAGGTTTCTGTTCCTTTCCTCATCTGTTTTGCAGTGTGGATTACAGAGGCCAACCAGTTCGCATCAATTTCAATAATGCAACAAGAGACACAGTGTTTGACATACCAGCTGAAGAAGTGAGGCCATTTTATGCAGCTCTAAAGGAATTCAATGACTTACTAAACAGCACAGAACACAAGTTTACTTTCAAGCTGAAACCAGGTCAGTAAGTTGTTTCTCTTTGCAGTGATTTTTCACATTTTTCCTGACACGTCAAAACATTCTAGCACTGTTAGCTCTACCCTGGCACAGAGAGGAAATTTCAGCCCTCACCTGTTTCATTTCACTGCTGTATCCTTACATAGTTTCTCCTGCTGTTGCTTCACTATGAAAAAAAAACCAAACCATAAGCCACAGTTACTGATGGGCAGTGTGGTCTATCTTCTTGTGACAGTGACAACTCATGCCATGTAGGAAGCATGTCACAACAGTAGCACCTGAAGCTTGCACAGCTGTTGGCCATCCCAATTCACCACATCCTCATCCCTCTGCTCCATTTGATGCACAGCGCTCCACGCTGCTAGAGGGGCACCTTTAGAACTGCTGCAGAACAGCTCAGAAATCACAGATGCACAATGCTAAGGGAGACCGACCGCACAGCAGGGAATTCAGCTGTCTGCTGTGCGCAGACACCGAATGCCTGAGTACAGAGCTATGTTCTGAACATATAACTGCACAAACGTTCCTTAAAAGTCAGCAGATTTTTAACTAGCTTGGCCTGAATCTCAGATCCTTTATTCTCCAGCTATAAAATAAAGATATGTACAGTCTCTCACAAGGTGTCACAGAAGTAAACTGGTTAGTGTATCTGACTGCCTTGCACACTGTGATGCTACTTGCTTTAAAATATCTGTGAGGAAACTAATTATTACCTATTCTGAACACACAAGAAAATAATGTATAAGATCACATAATAAATGGTAAAACAAAGTACTTCAAAGGACCATCAATTAATGCTGTAAAATAGTGGGAGAGGGAGGGAGAGGAGGAAAGAAAAAGTATGAGGTTAGTTAATTAGAGATTTTATCATAATGGTAGCACACAAGGGAGAAAAATTGAACTGGCAAGCTGGCCTTAGTTATGCCAGTTCCTCGCTTCCTCTCTTTTAACAGGGATAGTAATGCAGGATGCATATTGTATAAGTACTTCCAGACTGATCAAAAGAAAGTCACCTTATGCCTTTCATCCCTTCTGCCCTTCCCATGGATTTGCAGTTGTGCTTCTGTTCAGGAGGTGCTTTTCTTTGGAGTGTGGATCCCCTAACACTTAACTTAATTGTGCCTCTGAGCTGTGGCAAGCCTACATACCCCTGGGGCTACATAATGCACTGGGCTAAGCCCCAGCTGCAGGCTTTCTGTTGATCTCTGTACCTAGCATCACCTCAGAAGAACTTTTCCAAACAATAACCACATAGATAAATGAGGTGGAAAGTTAGCATAAAAGGTATGTGTTGTACATTACCCTGGTCTATCTTGCACAGTTCTGGCAGATTCTATTTGTCCACGCATCCCAGCGTCTGGGAAGAAAAATGTGAATTCTTTTATTGGCAGAAGTTCTTTTCTAAACAAGGCCTTCTTATAAGGAAACTTGTCTAATCGTGTTGTCTAAGATATCCCAGCTGGTTTCTTTTCTACTGGCCGGTCTCGTGGGCAGGCAGAAGAAAAGCAGTAGAGTTGGAGAGGGACCTGCCCCTTCTTTGAAATGATCGCTCCCTAGCTGTTGATCGAGGTGTCCCTCAATGTTGTCTGCTTGAAGGAATATAACTTACCAGATGTCAGAGGCTGTGCAATCTCTTTGCAGGAGACATCATAACGTTTGATAACTGGCGAGTGCTGCACGGCCGCAGGAGCTACCACTCAGGCTCTGAAGTGACACGTCACCTCGAGGGCGCCTACGCAGACTGGGATGTGGTCATGTCCAGGCTCCGGCTCCTCCGAAAGAGGGTCCTCAATAGGGACTGAGTTTCCTGCTGACTAGAGCAAGCAAAACTAGATTACCTAGGATCAAAAAAAAAAAGGAAAAAACCCAGTGTATTTTATTTGAGAAACTAACAAGGTGAATATCTGAATCTGTTACTGATTTCCATTAGCTGCTAAGAAAGCTGTCACTCAGCACAACATAAGGACTGTATCTGGTCAGGTAATTTAAGAGTGAATCACTACCTCACTGAGTTTAAAGCCATTTTTTCCACACAGTTTAAAAAGCAAATAAAGGTTGTCAGCTTGTGGCTGCCTTAAGTCCCCTCCACTAATACACCTGCCTCCCTAGAAAGCTCAAAGGGATGTCAAGAAAGAGTTCAGAAGCTTTGCTTATTAAAGGTTTGTCATGAACTACCAACCATTTTCAAAAAAAAGTGTCCTTCATTGTACAAATCATAACTGAATTCATTACTAAAATAAACAACCTCTGCTTTGGAGTTATTTGTCTAAAGTGACCCTTCTAAACGGAACCACACTTCAATACAAGTCATTCAACAAGTGCTGTAATCTGTATATTTGTTGTGCATGTGACAGTCACAGCCACAAGGAACTTTTATTACAGAGCTCTCAGAGAATGCATTGAATTATTTTTCAACTGCACTAGGAACAGAAAAATCTCTGTGTAGAGGTCAGAAGCAGGGCCAGCATCACATCAGATGCTGTGCGTAGATAAAATCAAAATCTTCAGGGCTGATATAGTAAAGTCAGGAAGAGGAATGCTACTTCCACTGCACAGCCTGGAATTAGAACACTTGGGAGGCAGCTGCTGACTCAGCACCTAACAGACAAGCTGCAGCTGTACTCAGGTCCAGTTTTGTTACACCAAACCCAACCTTTGGCAGAGGTGGTCTGCAGGATCATAGAATGGCTTGGGTTGGAAGGGATCATTAAGTTTTGATGCCTCTGCCACAAGCAGGGCTGCGGGTCAGCAGATGAAGCGCTAGATGATCAGACTGCCCAGCGTCCATCTATCTGGGCCTTAAACCCCTCCAGGGATGGATATCTCCCTCTCAGTATCATTCCAACTAGAGATCACACCATGCAAAAATCACTGCCATTGGAGCAGTACGTAGCAGGTGAGCTACAGCTCTGCGCCACTGCATTTCCTGCCGTGTTCAGATGCCAAAATGAAAGGGAAGCGTTTAAAATATGTATTTCCTTACCTATCTGTATCCATATCCAACAATACATCCACTGAGTTCATTCTTTACTGTCCTTCCCACTGCAGTTAACAGGATGCAGAGAGTCAGACATAATCAATACCCTCCACTACTAGATGTGCTCCATTCAGCCACTGGGCGTTTAGAGCCAGTCCCAAATAAATAGTAAATAGTGAAATGCTTTTGTCAGGTTTTGAAGGGGCAGTAACATGATGCATAACAAAATGAGCTTTTAGCAGTTATTTGATTTCCCAGTGTGTCCTTTAATAGTTAACTGTGGAAAGAAGATGAAAGTATTTGTTGTCCTTGCTATGAGAAGGGGGGAAGGTTTACACCTATATTCTATGAAATACCAGCAGTGCTGTGCTCTAACTGTGATATTTTGCTTAGAACAATTTAGTGAGAATTTCAATTCATAGCATTTTAGCAAGACATCTTGGGATTAATAAAGATGATTTTCTGCTGAAGATTTTCTGCTTTTATTCTGTACTTTTCTAAAACCCGTTTTATTCAAATGTCTGATTATTAGAAGCTATTAAGGAACTGATTATTGTTTTGGGCTGATGTGTAATCTCACCACAGCATCTTGCACACAGATACTAAATCATTATTTACAACTGTTTGTGAACACAATTAGATCTGGATCATTCCAGCTCCTCCCTGACATTTAAAATACATGTAAACCCATAACTTTGAACAGCTGTAAAATAAAAGAATCAAGTCTCTGTGGATCTAACTTTGCACTACTGGGATATTTGTCATTGAGGTACATCCTGCTACAATCTCACACAACATTCATAATTTATTCCTGAGATATGTTGTCCTTTATACATCTCGTTGACCTGGGAAGGGGTCCAACCACCCACACAAAGTGATGTAGAATCAAAACTCGAGGGTTTAACTGCAAACCTTCTACTCACCACCTTCAGCTGCTACATCACAACTTTTAACCAAAATCCATGTGCTGCAGTCATGTTGGTTGGGAAAAGAGAGTGTTTTTATAACTATCTGCCTAGTAGATCTCTGAATGACTGCACTGGTACCTGGTCTGCTAAGCTGTTCTCATAAAAACACCACTCACTTTGCAGCTGGTTCTCCCATGCTGTAAAACACGCTCAGTTTCTCAAGCATTTGTTCCAGCCCACAGCATACAGCACATACTGCTGCTTGGGCTTCACATTCCCATGAATTCACAGCAAATTCAATGCAGGGTTTCATCATGTGCAGTACCTTGGAAAATGCATGTTTAATCCAAACTGTGTTTCTCTCTGACACAAATCAGAGAAAGCCATTAGTGATCTTGTCTCAAGTTCTTCCTAAGGCAAGTGAGTTTTTATTCTACACTACATGTTCTCAAAGCTGTCAGCTTTGAACAAGTCCATATTTGAAAGTTTCATGCTGTAAACTTAAAATTGCTTTCAGTAGAAGCTGAATCAATAAATATCTTTTCTACATACATTTTAAGGTTACTGAAGATCTCCCCCCTCCCCCCCCCCACCTTGTTATGTACTTCAGGTGCTCAAAAGCAGATGGGAAAGACCAAGATGCCAAAGGAGTCTCCCCTTTTCAACGCCACTCCGCCAAAAGGAAAATAAATGGCAACTGCTCATAAGAAACCCTGTTTCTACATAACGTTTGTTAAACTCTAGAAAAGGAAATAGTTGATGCCAGAGGACCAGCCACAAGGCCTCTCTTCCTGCAGCTCCCTTATAGGAACCCTGGAAGGAAACACAGGCAGTTTTGTGAACTGCATTTGCAGCTTCTCATTGACTCACATTGCTCACTCCACACCATCTCTGTGTCCAGCACCATGCAACCCACTGCATTTTTTTGATAATATACTTTACATACAAATTCTATCCACGTTATTTGCATGGTTATTGACATAAAGAGCATCATTTGCTTTTTTCATAACAAGTTGCTTAAAGAGCCACATCCTCTCTGCTCCATTTCCAGAGCTAAGGATTTACTGGTTTTTCTTTTTTTGCATTTCTGATCTATTATTTTTGAAGCAGAGAGGTAGCCCCAAATATCCCCACATCCGCTGCAGCTACACCTCCTGTAGGAACAGCTTCTTTCCCACTTTGTAGGATTTAGGCAGCCTAGCAGATTTTCACCTAATAGAATTTCTTTCACTGGCCTCAGCATTTGCAGCTTCATAGCAGCCATGATATAAATGTATGCTGAAGCACAAAGCCACCTTCTTTGTACAGAAGCTACGTGGAGGTCAAAAACTAATGTACAAGTTTACTCCTATGGTTGAGCTGGAGCCAAGGGTATCAGAAACTGTTTGGAAATTCAGACAACAGTTGTGGAACTGTAATGAGATCAAGATCTGGCAAGACATCCACTAAAGCCTAGTGAGAATGGGTACCACTGGTGAAAACAGTCTTATCCTGGCTAGAGGGAGACAGGTGGGCTGCTTCCTTTCTTGGTTGCAACCCACAACCTAACTCAAGCTAAGTTCATTTCTCCTAATTCTCTCTTTTGAGCTACCCGGTCTCGAGGGAGGTCTCCCTGCCTATAGTAGGCGGTTGGAAATAAATGATCCTAAAGTTCTTTTCCAACCCAAACCATTCTATGTTTCTACGATTCTAATGGAAGATTTATCTTCCTTAAATTCTCCTGAGACTGAAGGCCATGTTCCAGCCCTGCCTCATTCTCTCCCTTCTAGAAGCAGACCACTGACCCCACCGCTGCAGCCTTTGGTCTATTCAGCATCCCTGCTGTCGTGTACAGGATAGGCAGCACCCAGCTGCAAAGCACAACAGCCAAGGGGAAGATGAGATTCAGAGGAGTTTCATCTCTATCAGATAAATAAAGTGAACCAACACAACAGGAAAAACATACTGCCTTTTTGCTGACAGCCCAGCCAGATGTCTGCTGACCGCAGCACTGTCCTGGGTGCAGTGGCTCAGGAGTCCTGCTCCACAATGCCTTCTGCATTTTACAGCCACATCTGCTCTGGAAAAGCACTTGAAGGATGATTTATCACTGCTGTGTCAATGAACTGAAAAGCTCCCTGGAACTTTTTCACTTCATACTAACATCCCCAGATCAGTGATCTGCCCTGACATTTTCTATTCCTTTTCGTATCATTATTGTTGCGTGATGTGGTCACATAGGAGAATGGAAACTAACAGCAAAGGCCAAAGATCCATTTCATCACAAGTTCTTAAGCAAATTAGCACCAACATCCCTTGCCCCAGGGAAACCCAGCTCAGGACAAACCTGCAGTACCTACTGCAGAGGCCGTGAGTGAGACCATGCAAATGAAAAAAGAGAATCAGTGCTCCTTGAACATCCTCTGCATCGGGCCAATCTCAAAGCCACTGGAGCCAAAACTCCCATTAATTAATGGGAGCAAAGACTCCCATTAATATTATGCACTGTTTGGGTTGGGTGCCAAGATCTCAATAGCCATTTTTTCTACTTTTCCCATTTGACACACCTCTCAGTCTGAGTATGGGTAGAAATAGTGTTTCACACTAAGATAATTCTTAAGCATGAAGCACAGAGGGGTTGGGTCCGTAGGTGGTGACACCATGCCCTGAACCTTAATGCAACTTTTGCAGCCCTTGATTTCCTGGAGCTCACTAGACCATTCACTTCCTGCTCCAGGCACTCATCTTGATGTTCTTCTGCCCTCAGCCATGCAATACTTCCATAAAGGGCACCCAAAAAAAGGTGCTGGTGACCCAGTGCACGCAAACAGTGGCAGATGCGGGGTTTCCAAAATACAGACCC